TTGTGAGTTTAAACCTTGGGTTACCCTGGTTGGTTTTGAGGTTGTGCACTGCATGCTCCAGGGGCTGCCATTCATAAAGGCAATGTTGTGTACAATTGTGTGCAGTGGTCTGAATCCTGGATCCACTACTTATCAGTGCTATATCTTCTCAAGTTATCCTTGTTCAAACCTATTAACCTTCACTTTCCGACTCTGGAGAATGGGGGATATAATTGTACCTATCTCATAGGGTTGTGATGAAGTTTAAATAAAAGCCCTCTAATACATTTATCTCAGTGCTTGGCACTTATTGAGTGCTTGATAAATGCTGTTATTATTAATAAAATGTGACCAGGCTCTATTGGAAGCACACATAGTGAGCTATAGAAGCATAGGAGTGCTGTGTATTAGCGTCCAATGACTGATGTAACAAATTACCACAAATTTGGAGGCTTAAAACAGGACACATTTATTCTCTTACAGTTATGGAGGTTAGAGGTCCAAAATCAGTTTCCCTGGCATAAGGCAAGAAATCAGCAGGGGAGGCTTTAGGGCAGAAGCCATTCCTTGCCTTTTCCCGTTTCTGGTGAACCAGCATTTCTTGGTTGTGCATTACCCCAGTCTCTGTCTCTGTGGTCACATTTCCTTCTCCTCCTCTGTGTGTAGTCAAATCTCCCTCTGCCTCCTTCTAGAAGAACATGTTATTTCATTTAGGGGTTACCCAGATAATCCAAGATGTTCTCCCCATCTCAAGATTCTTAACTTAAACACATCTGCAAAAGCCCTTTGCCATAGAAAGTAACATTCATAGGTTCTAGGGATTAGGATATGGATATCTTACAGGGCCATTATTGTATTAGGATTTCTCTAGAGAAACAGAATGAATAGGATATATAGATATAGACAGAGATATAGTTATAGGTATAGATATAGATAAGAGGCTCATGAGGTTATGGAAGCTAAATCACACAACCCTGCCATTTGCAAGCCGGAGAACCAGGAAAGCTGGTGGTATGATTCAGTCCAAGTCCAAAGGCCTGAGAACTGGGGGACTGCTGTTGTAAGTTAAGGAGTCTGAAGATCTGTGGACCAGTAGCTCTGATGTCTGAGGCCAGGAAAAGATGGATGTCTCAGTTCACAAAGGGAGAGAATTTGCCCTTCCTTTGCCTTTTTGTTCCATTTGGGGCCCTGGTGGTTTGGATGGTGCCCACCCATATTTGTGAAGGTGGATCTCTTTACTCAGTCTACTGAATCAAATGCTTCCAGAAACACCCTCACAGACACATCCAGAAATTACATTTTATGAGCTATCTGGGCATCTCTTAGCTCAATCAAGTTGATGCATAATATTAACCATCACAATTATATAGCCCACCACAGGCTGCCCAACCCAGTTTAGAATGGGGAGGAAAGGAATGTCAGAGACACTTTCCTGAAGGAGTTGGTGGCTGACCCCAGCCATGAGGGTGGGCTAGAGAACTGCTGAAGAGCATCCCAGGTGGGGAAACCGTATGGAGAGAGTGACAGTGGACAAGCCAGAGAAACATGGCTCATTGTCAGTTCAGTGTGAAATTTTTAAATCATTTTTCTTAGCTGACATATCAAATTCTTTATTTTCCCTCTTTTAAACTCAGGATTACGGAGCCTGTGCTCCACAACGGGAGAGGCCACAACAGTGAGAGGCCCGCGTACCGCAAAAAAAAAAAACAACTCAGGATTATTTTGTTTTTAAATGTATATTTAAATTTGGGACTCCAGGAAAACCTTGATCAAGAGTATCATGTTTGTTGCAAGTTAAATATATCTTCAAATATGGTGGCTGCTCCCTTTCTTGCTGCCTAGAAGGGTGAGGGCTGCTTCGCTGGTGTTTGCAGAGGTTGCAGACCTAGCCCGGCCCACAGCCTGAATGGGGCCCACAGACATGCTTTGCTTAATCCCACGCGTTTTAAAATTTTTGAATCACTTGAAAACTTTGAAAAGTAGGGAAATTGATAGGAAAAGTCTCAATTTATAACTTCTGTTAAAACATGGGACAACGTACCCCTCTATCTTTCTTGCTGAAACACGAGCATTCCGATCAGAGACAGAGTCCCACCACCCAGTCTCCTTCTGACTGGGGCTGAGTCTCTCCAGTCTTTGAGCTGGATCTGTGGTTTCCTTGTCTGAGAGAAACCAAGAAGTAGGAGATGAAAGTCTGAGTGGGCCACATTTCTCCCTCCAGGCCCACTTCTGCCAGCTCCTTCCCTGCTGCTCCCTTGTCTGGGCTTCTGACGATGAGACGCCAGATTTACGTTTCCAGGGCTCTATCTTTCCCGCTTTTCAGCTTTTCCTGTTCCTACTCAAAAACAAGAACAAGGTTAGAACAATCGAAGGGCAAAAAAATTGACCCCAGACAACACTGTTCACAACAGCAAAGGCCTCGGGCTCCTGGCTTCTCTTTTTCTGGAGAAGGTGCCCTTTTTGGTGCAGTTTCTGGAGGAAAACAGAGCAGCAGTAGGGGAGAGATCTCCACCCACCAGCTGGAGTGGCTGCAGGCGACCAGGTGATCACCTTACACACACTTACTAAAAAACCTAAACAAAACCAATATTCACTGCCTTAATGTTCTGGCATATTTCCTTCCTATCTTTCATTTATAGATAGGAAGTAAGACCACATTGGAATACTCTTTTATGGTGTCCATTTTTCACTTGGTAGTTATAGTATAAGCATTTTTGTGTTTTATTGAATTTAATCCTATCTTTAAAGATTTTTAAATTGAGGTGAAATCATAAAAATTAAAAAACATGAAATTAAACATAAAATTAAACATTTTCAAGTGAAAAATTCAATGGCCTTTAGTACATTCACAGTGTTGTACAACCACCACCTCTATCTCATTCCAAAATATTTTCATCATCCCAAAAGAAGACTCAAAAAAAAAAAAAAAGACTCCGTACCCATTAGGCAGTTTCTCCCCATTCCCTCCTTCCCCCAATCCATAGAAACTACTGATCTGTGTTCTGTCTCTATGGAGTTACCTATTCTGATATTTCATATACATGGAATTATACAATATGTGACTTTTTTTGCGTCTGCTTCTTTTACTTTTCATAATATTTTCAAGGTTTATCCACATTATAGCATTTTATTAGTACTTCATTCCTTTTTATAGCTGAGTAATATTCATATACATATTGTTATACAGGCATATATATACTCCATTGCACACATACATTCCCCCCTCAATTCGTTTATCCATTTCCACCTCTGGCTATTATAAATAATGCTGCTGTGAACATCTGTGTACCTGTAGTTGAGTACCTGTTTTTATTTCTTTGGGGTATATACCTAAGAGTTGAATTGCTGGTCATATGGTAATTCGAGGTTTAAATTTTTTTTTTTTTTTTGCGGTACGCGGGCCTCTCACTGTTGTGGCCTCTCCCATTGCAGAGCACAAGCTCCGGACATGCAGGCTCAGCGGCCATGGCTCACGGGCCCAGCTGCTCTGTGGCATGTGGGATCTTCCCGGACCAGGGCACGAACCCGTGTCCCCTGCATCGGCAGGCGGACTCTCAACCACTGCGCCACCAGGGAAGCCCGAGGTTTAAATTTTTGAGGAACTGCCAAACTTTTTCCACAGCAGCTGCACCATTTTGCATTCTCATAAGCAATGTACAGAGGTTCTAATTTCTCCACATCCTCACCAATAGTTGTTATAGATAGGTCGACTGATTGAGTATAGCCATCTTAGTGGGTATGAAGTGGTGCTTCATTGTGGTTTTGATTTCATTTCCCTAATTTCTAATGGCTGCAGAGTATTCCCTTTTATGGATGCCACATAACCTAGTCAATTCTCCACTGGTAAACACTGAGTCCCTCTCATCTTTTTGCCCTTACATATATTCTCCAGTACCCACCCTCACATTCTCAGTTGAAAGCATGGACTGTGGAGTCAGACAGATGAGTTTAGGGTATAGCATCTCCATTTACTCCTAGTGTGGTCTTAGGCAATTCACTTAACTTCTAAATCTCAGTTTCTTCATTGTAAAATGGGAATAAGTAACAGACCTGCTTCACCAAGTGTTTCAGAGGATTAAATATGAATGTGCATAAAGCCATTAACATATGGGTTTGTACATGGTAAGAAATCAATAGATGCTGGAATCTTTGATTTCTTCCTTAAATTCTTAGAGGTGACATTGCTGGGTCAGTACAGATTAGGCACATATTTGAGGGTTTTTGACACACGTTGCCAAATTGTCCTTTCCAGATACTAATTGACATTCCACCAGCACTGTATGCCAGTGTTTGTTTCTAGAACCTTCAACACTGGGAATTGTCATTTAAAAAATCATTGCTAACATCTCATTATTGTTTTAAATTTGCATTTTTGATTATTAATGAGCTTGAATATATTTGGGGCATTTATATCTCTTTAATGTATTGTCTTTTTATGTCCCATGCTCACTTTTCTCTTGGGATGATAAACTTGTCTAAATTTCTATAAGAGCCCTTTATACAAAGATATTAACCTAACATGCCTGTCATTTTGTTAAAAAATAATTCATTTTCAGTTTGTCATTTGCATTTTAATTTCACATAACTACATGGCATGGCTCACCACTAAAGGATCTGTAAATACCAAACTCTTGGTGTTTCTCAGAGGGGATGGACAGAAGTTGAGCAAGTTAGGCCTCAGTTTTCCCATCTGAAAAATGGGATTGGACTAGAAAATTGCTATTTATTTCCAGACTTTATGATATTTTATGCTTTTATGAAATTTTATGATTTTATATTAACATCTTCTATGATCAGTATATAGTGTTATTCAACTTAATATTTTATATTTGTATGTAATAGTAATAAGCGTAAACATAATTACTCCTGAAACTGCTTTGGTATGTCTTCAGACCCTTGAGCAGAGGCTCTAAGTGTGAGATATATATATATATAAGTTGTTTATAATTCTCTTTTAAGGAATTTTAACTTTTGTATCATTGAGGCTACTATAAATCATGTATCTGTTTGTTGTTAAATAGGTATTTGATGCAGTTAATCCAACATACTCTAACTTCAAGAGCAACTTTGCGAAGAGGCTATCGGCTGAAGTTCCTGTTGCCAGTAGCCCAATTACCACAAGATGGCGGCAAAGCCAAACCAGGGATGTGGCAGCCCATTCCTTTGGGGGAGAGCATTCAACAGCTGACCTCCCAGAAACTGTGCTGAAGATAACTCCTGAGAAAGAGACCTTGATTCCAGGTGAGGTAATAAAAATGCCACAGGCCAGTTTTGAAATCTTAAAAAAAAGATGTATTCCTGAGAGAATCTTTGTCTTACAGAAATATCTGATGTAACATTTAGTCAACTGCTTTTCTCTTTTTCTCCCTTTGAATAAGAAATTTCCAGGGGCAGTGGGAAGGGGAGGCCTGAAACAAAACCAGAAGAAAGTATGTTGTATTTTAAGTGTGTCTCTGAGATTTGCATTGGTAGATTATTGCTTTTGTAAAGACTTTACGTATGTATAAATATGTGTATACATACATATGTATACACACAAATATGTTTCTCTTATGTTTTGTGAAGTATAGAGTTTTTGATGACTCTGGTAAGATTCCTTGTCTACAACAGTCAGGAAAAAGATGTATTAGTAATGAAATAATTAGGTATGAAATAGGAGAAGAAAAAGATGAAAACAGGAGAGGATGAGTGGAAGAGAAAGAAAAGGAAGGAAGAGGAGAGACATGGAGAGTAGAGAGGAGACAGAGAGAGAGAGAGGAGGAATAAGAAGAAGAAAGAAGAGAAGAGATGAGGGGAGTAGAGGGAAACAAGAAGAGAGGGAAAGAGGGAAGAGGGAAGCAAAGAGAAGGAAAGATGAGAGTGGGACAGTCTAATGCCTGCCTGGGACAGAGATGGGGAATGGGCAGCAAAGCTGTGATCTGGTGGGCAGGGATCCAGGATTAACCTGTCAAAGCTTTGAAACATAAGCCCTCCTTCTAAAATATGTCTCATTAGCACAACTTTAAAAAAAATTTTCCCAGCTTTATTGAGATTTATTTATTTTGGCTGTGCTGGGTCTTTGTTGTGGCATGGGTTGTGGCATGTGGACTCTTAGTTGTGGCATGCATGCAGGATCTAGTTCCCGGACCAGGGATCAAACCCGGGCCCCCTGCATTGGGAGTGCTGAGTCTCACCCACTGGACCACCAGGGAAGTCCCAGTTGAGAAATAATTGACATATAATACTGTGTGGGTTTAAGGTGTATGACATGATGACACAATGCACTTATGTATTGCAAAATGATTACCACAACAGAGTTAGTTAACATTGCCATCACGTCACATAATTACCATTTTTTTGTGGTGAGAACATTTAAGATCTATTCTCTTAACAGTTTTCAAGTGTATAATACAGTATTGTTAACAATAATCATCATGTTATACATTAGATCCCCAGAGTTTATTCATTTTCTAATGGGAAATTTGTGCCCTTTGACTGATACCTCCCCATTTTCCCCACCCGCTAGCCCCTGGCAACCACCATTCTACTCTCTCTTTCTCTGAGTACGGCTTTTTTAGACTCCAGGTATAAGTGATATCGTACAGTATTTGTCTTTCTCTGTCTGACTATTTCACTTAGCATAATGCCTTCAGGGTCTATCCATGTTGTTGAAAATGGCAGGATTTCCTTCTTTCTCATGGCTGAATAATATTTCATTGTATGTTTATGTATTCCATTTTCTTTGTCCATCCGTTGATGAACACTTGGGTTGTTTCCATATCTTGGCTACTGTGGATATCTCTTCAAGATGCTATTTTCATTTCCTTTGGATAAATACCCAGAAGTGGAATTGCTGGATCATTGCTGGTAGTTCTATTTTTACGTTTTTGAGGAACCTCCATACTGTTTTCCATAGTGACTGCATGAATTTACATTCCCACCAATAGGAGCACAACCTTTTTTATTCCCATCCTTCAGAAGCAAAACTTGACACTTAGTGATTTAATTTCTGTTCTTCCTTTTTAAAATCCTAGGCAATGTAATTCATTGTCTTATCAGCATGTTTAAGACAAATGGTAACTTACTGCCACTCTTTTCTCAATGACATTAGACACAGTGAGGCACCATAGTCCTGCAGATGGAAAGGGAGCTCAAATCATTTTTTTTTTTTTGATAGGTAAGAAGTGGATTTATTTAGAGAGAAACACACTCCACAGACAGAGTGTGGGCCATCTCAGAGGTGAGAAAGGCCTCAAATCATTTTTAAACCAATGAAATTTTCCTGTAATAGTAAGTATCAACACAGAAAATAGCTGATTGAAACAGTAGGAGATAAAGGGTTGTAAGAAAGGTCATTCTTATGGCTATCTTCTGAAAGATGTTTTAATTGAGGGGTGATTTTAATGCTAATTGTATCAGAGGAATTTCTGGCTAAAATTAAGGGCTCCCTTTTCCTTCATAGTTCCTTAATTAATTAATTATTTTCAAATAAAGCATTGCATGAGAAATTCAGAATTATAAGAGAGATTATCAGTCAAAATAATTTTACAAGAAAGTATATTTCATTTTCTATTAAGTTAATACTGCATATTAATCAGAAACATTGGTTTCTCAGTGTTTTGCTGGTGGGGTTTCTTTCTTTTTGTTCCAGAAGGGTGAACACTGAAGACCCTCCCATCCTAAAAGGGATGTTTGCAGAGAGGTTCATTTGCAGCCATGCTCTGTGAACAAAACCTGAGAGGTCCTGGATTCCTTAGGCTGGTGGACCTGACCTCTTTGTTGATAACTGGGGTGATTGTCAGTACTAGCATCCAACTGTAACGTTTTATTTCTCATTTGAGGTTCAGAGAGACGGCTTTTTCTCCTCTTTACTTGTCTACAAATAGGACAAAACAAGGATGCATAATTTTGCGAGACAAAGAGTAAGATCTAAAACGTTGCAGAAGGGGCTTCCCTGGTGGCACAGTGGTTGAGAATCCGCCTGCCAATGCAGGGGACACGGGTTCAATCCCTGGTCCGGGAAGATCCCACATGCCGCGGGGCAACTAAGCCTGTGCTCCACAACTACTGAGCCCGCAAGCCACAAGTACTGAGCCTGTGTGCTGCAACTACTGAAGCCCACGTGCCTAGAGCCCGTGCTCCACAGCAAGGGAAGCCACTGCAATGAGAAGTCCATGCACCGCAATGAAGAGTAACCCCCCCTTGCCACAACTAGAGAAAGCCCGCGCGCAGCAACGAAGACCCAGCACAGCTAAAAATAAATAAATAAATAAAATACATCAAAATAAAAAAGCCTTTAAAACAAATAAAACTTTGCAGAACATTTCATGTTTTCATCCCTCTTTCCTCCTTGAAATTAGATTTTGGATTCCTCCTTCCTCTTAGACTTTGGATAGCCCAGAAATTGAGGTGTTGGGCTCTAGGAACATTAGTGACAGTTTATCTAGCACACATTTGTCCAAATGAAGAAGGGATTGTCATATCGCAAAAGGCCAAGTTACATAATCTAGTGTCCCTTGGTTCCGCTGATGAACAAGTGATATAGCAAATATTTAGCTTTAGAAGATGACTTGTCAAAGTTTTCAGTGCAGTTAAGTATGGTAAAGGGCTTTCTCAGTTGTGAGAAGAGAATAGAAATGGACAATAACAATGCAAATAACATTGACTCTTCCATGACTGTAACTTAGGAAGTATTTTACTAAGGTCATCTCAAACTAGCTTTACATCTTTGTGCAATAGGAAGAGGGAGAGGCAAAGTGATTTGCTTATGATCATGTAGTGAACATCAATGATTGGAAGGCAAGCATCCCATAGTGATTTCCTGGCAGGATGATCACAGCCTGGGCAAACCAGGTACGCTTCGCTCCATCATTTTAAACTATTGAACTGTTTGTATCCATTCTTCAAATCTGCAAATGTGTCCTTTCCAGGCAGACATAAAGCATTTCTGCTGCTGCTGCTGTTGGGGTCAGGTCTTTAATCTTAGCATTTCCTCCTGGTTTTGGAAGCCATTGAGGCACTTTCTTACCCAGCGTTCACTTATGAACCCAGTGCTCTGCATAGGCCCTGTGCCGCCCTCTCCACCCCACCCCACCCAGGATTTTGCAGAGACCAGGGCCTGTATCTTCACATTCTGTTCTATGGTACATGCCAAGGGCTGACCTCCAACCAAAGGTTTAAAAGATTATATTGTTTTAAAAACCAAATTCAAAGTTAAATGTTTTTCTGGCAGGATCCTACAAAGAGCCACCGAAGACCCCCAACAAAGGAAGTTTTGAAACAAATAGCTCTGCTCTCCATTTTTGCAAGGCACCTCATGCACTGGATGGAGGCAAGAGGAAAACTGTTGCCTCAAAAGGCCAGGTAGGTAAAGAGGGAAAACTGAAGATCTCACATCTTGAGAAGCTCAGACAACTGAGTCCCAAATGTGAGGTAAGAGCTGGCTTAGCTGCTATGACAAATCAGTAAGAAAATGATGGGTTCCTAATAGAAAAAAATGAGTCTGTGAAGGACATGAAAAGAGGCATTTCCAAAAAGAAATAGAATACCTGGCAAATACACAAAAAAGTGTTTAATTAGCATCAGTCAAAAAAGTGAAAATGAGACTAACCATCAACAAGGTAAAGACTAAAAATAGAATAAAATTATACGTACTATGGTATGTTTCCTCTCAGCCCAAAGGTCTCTTGTACGGTCATTTCCCAACTATTTGGAAAGTATGTGGTGACTTGGTCTGCCCTTTGAGGTGTCTCAGGATCAGTTTGACTCTTCGTCTATAAGATGGTCTTTTAAATATTTCCCCTATGTCTTTGTTGTTTTTTAGTTTCTCTACTAAGTTAATTTAATTCCTTTAAGTATCTTATTTATTATGGTTTTAAGATCATAGGAGTCTGCCCTAAATCCTTTGTGCACATTAAACATCAGTAGCATGTTTTTAGATTTATCAAATCGCATGAAGAGCCTCTGAAGAAATCAATGTTTCATTTAGAAAACTTTGAACTAGGAATGTCATAAATTCTCAATTTAGGCAAAGCTACTCATTGAGTGTGTGCTTCCTGTGTTTGGCATATACATCTTGCTGGAGGAACAATAAAATATTGTGAATGTAAATTTTAATTATTTGAACTCATATGCAGTTGGAAACAAATGTTATTAGAGCAGGTCTTTTGCTGGGTGCTTATTGTTGGGTAAGGGTTTGGGGTGGGTGGATGGCCAAGGGGTTCTACTGAGGTAACTATGGGCGCTGTTGAGCTCATGCCCAGGCCCGGCTATTAACACACCTGTCCTTTCCACCCTCTAGTGCTGTTTGGAGTTTTTACTGCCCTGGCCATCACGACTTCCCTTTTCCTTCCCCTTGTGCTGTCTGGTAACTCGTGGCAGCAAAGTTGGTGGCTCTGTCTGTGGGGTCACAATGGTGTTGGCAAGTTACTATTGTTATAGCAATTGTTATCCAGGCAGAACATCATCCCAGCATCACTGAAGAACCTGGGCAGGGAATAATGGAAGCCTTTTTACTACTTTATGTAGAGCATTTGTTGTCACGACTAATTGGAAGTCAAACATCAGCAAGAACGTTGCAGATATAAAGTGAGGTCTTTTACCTCGACAGTAAACATGTGTCTTCATGTAGTCCTTAGAGATCACCTGGGGGGTGTTTCTGCAATGAGACCTGCCTAACTCTAGAGATTTCAGAATTCTCATATCCAGTCGGCTCTATGCCAAGTTGCTCATTAAAGTATTGGGTTGGCCCAAAAGTTCGTTTGGGTTTTTCCACAAGATCTTACAGGAAAACCCGAATGAACTTCTTGGCCAACCCAATAATAAGTGGCTCTCACCTAGGGAAGAGTATCCCCGGGTATACTGAGCAGAAGCACACTGTCTGGGCAATGCCTTGGTCAGCTTTGAGGTAACTATGGGATTCTGAAGAAGTGAATCTGTGAAGAGTTACATTGAGCTATTGACCAGCAGGTCATTGTAGGAATGTTATTTTATACCACTGCTTCTCAAACGGGGGCTACTTTGCTCCCCAGGGGACATTTGACAAAGTCTGAAAACATCTTTTTTTTTTTGTGGTACGTGGGCCTCTCACTGTTGTGGCCTCTCCCGTTGCGGAGCACAGGCTCCGGACGCGCAGGCTCAGCGGCCATGGCTCACGGGCCCAGCTGCTCCGCGGCACGTGGGATCTTCCCGGACCGGGGCACGAACCCGTGTCCCCTGTATCAGCAGGCGGACTCTTAACCACTGCGCCACCAGGGAAGCCCTGAAGACATTTTTGATTATCACAACCAGGGATAGGTATCTAGTAGACCACAATAATGCATTACCTGCCAATAGTTCTGAAGTTGTGAAGCCCTGCTTTATAATTAATTGTTTTACTTTGAATACCTAAAAATCCATGATTCATTGACTGGCAATGCCTATTATGTGATACAATATCTGGGAAGAAACCCAAAATATCAAAATGATGCTCAGCAGAGAGACTTCTGTCTGAATTATGGTGATCCAGTGATTAAATGTATTGTTGTGAAAGAGATAGAGAATCTTCTCTGTTTTAACTATTTACTATTGTATTTCTAGAATAAGTACTTTTCTTTCCCTTTTTACTAATTTGCCCATCTGTTTTTGATTGGAGTTGGAAGTAAGAACATCAGGAGTGCTCTTTATATACTGGCCCAGAGAGATAGCAATCAGAGTTTTGTGCTCATGGAAATTTAGGCAATTTACTTAAGCTGTCTCTGACTTGATATTCCCAGTTCTCATGGGTAAAGGTGTTAGTGGAAAAGGACCTTTAAGATAAGAAGTTTAATCCTAACATATTACAGATGAGGAAAATTGAGGTCCAGAGAAAATCTCAGTAACAGACTGAGAGACCATCTCTGGGTTGAATGCTGAGAGGCACCCCTTGAAATAAATCTTTCTTGGGGAAAGCATTCTTACTAATACTCAACTTTATTGTTTATTTTTATTTATTTATTTTTTTTCGGTACGCGGGCCTCTCACTGTTGTGGTCTCTCCCGTTGTGGAGCACAGGCTCCGGACGCACAGGCTCAGCGGCCATGGCTCACGGGCCCAGCTGCTCCGCGGCACGTGGGATCTTCCCGGACCGGGGCACGAACCCGTGTCCCCTGCATCGGCAGGCGGACTCCCAACCACTGCACCACCAGGGAAGCCCTCAACTTTATTGTTTTGAGGAGGTCTTTTAATTTCAGAGAGTATTAGAAATACGACATTTCAGTTCTTGCAGGCTTTGATGATGTCACTGGCATATGATTGGTTTGTGGGCTAAAAGGATTTTTAGGCCCGAAGAATAAAAGAGGATTTTATTGTAGCTGAGTGATACCCTCCCTCTGGAGTTGTTGGGGAGATAAGAAATAATATAGCAGTAAAACGTTCAGCACTGTGTTTATTACACAGTGGTTAGCTAATAAATAATGGCAATTATTCTAGTTTTGGTTTCAGTAATGTGTAGCCTTTGAACTTTGTAGTGAATTAGCAGCTTTAATTCTATACCATGCAACACATCTGAGATGTACACATATGTTTCTGAATAAGTAATCTCTTTGTGTCTGTTTTCAGAAATGCTTAAACCGGCTATTATCGACCCAGAAAGTGGCTCAGCAGGTTAATGGGAAAATGCAGCTCTGCGAGCAATCCCAATGCATTTGGAAAGGTATGGGCCAAAGATTTTCTGTTTGTCCTTCTTTCCTACCCTCCTCTCTCCCTGCCTCCTTCATTTCTTCTTTATCTTAAAATATTTTATTTTTATATTTATTAGAACAAACTCAACATAATTGTAAAATGTAGATAATTCTCGTGATCCTCTGTCTTAACCATCCCTACCAACACTACCTATTTCCCAGAGGCAACCACCCTTAGCTCTTCCAGCTATACCCCCTGCTATTTACATCTATGTTCTAAATAATGTTTGTAAACTGCTTTTTTTTTTTTTACAATTTTAGACTTTATCGCAACTTTCTACCATAGTAAGAACTTAGCTCCCCTCCTGTTTCATTCACCTCCCTCAGTCTATTTATATTACACTTTTAAAGAGTAAAATTAGTATTTAACGTTTACATCATATTACTATAAAACTATTATTTCCTGTCAAGCCAAATAGTGTACTATAACTATGCCTCTTTTCTAGTATAACCTTTTTTTCCTAGACTTAAAAAGTTGCTTTATATTTTCATTTGTTAGATACCTGTGAAATTATGACTGTTTTCCCTAAATGCTCCCATGTTTTGTTCCACAGCCATCAATAATATTTTCCACGTACCCACCCACATCAGTTCTTGTTTTCCTTGGTGGCCTCCTACCCAGAGCCTGCTGAACACGCTGCTCTCTTGGCCAGTCCCACAGCTGTGATTCTGGGACTTCTCTTCTCTGATGTTAGATCCTCTATTTCCGGGCAGCCATGTTGTGCTCCTTCTGGGTTTGCTGGTCTGAAAGTGTGCTTACCCTACTTTTACACTTGATTCATAGTTTGGCTGGCTACAGATTATAGTTTCGCTCAGAATTTTGTGAAAAAAGGTATTGCTTTATTGTTTTCTGGCATCCACTGTTGCTGCTGAGAAGTTATATGATGTTGTGACTTCCTGTCCTTTGTATGCCACCTGCTTTTTCTCTCTGAATGCACATAGAAAAATTTCTTATCATTAGTGTTTTAAAATTTCATGATGATAAAGCTTCGTGCAGAATAAAAAAAAAAACCTCATTATAACTGACAAGCCCACTGGTAGATCTTTTCAGTCTTGGAGACCTGTGTCTTTTAATTCTTGGAAAGTTTCTTGAAATATTCTTTAGTAATTTCTTCACCTTTGTTTCTTTTTTCTTTCTTTCTGAAATGTTGACCATAATTGTTGGTCCTTCTGGATTAGTTCTCTTATTTTTTTCTATTCTATTTTTCATCTCACTTTTTCTTCTACTTTGTAGGTGGTTACCTCATTCTGTCCACTAGCCTTGAGATTAAAGTTTTTATTTTGGCTATCCTAGTTTTAATTATAAAGTTTCTTAGACACTGTCAGGCCTCTCTTTCTCTCTCTCTCCCCTATACCCCTTCCTCCCTCCCTCCCTCCCTCCCTTCCTCCCTCCCTCCCTCCCTCCCTTCCTCCCTTCCTCCCTTCCTTCCTTCCTCCCTTCCTCCCTCCCTCCCTCCCTCCCTCCCTTCCTTCCTTCCTCCCTTCCTTCCTTCTCTCTTTCTCTCTTTCCAGCATCCTGTTCATGCTTCATGTATATACTATTTTCTCTTATTTCTCTGAAAAAATTTCACATACAGTTTTGGAAGGATTGCTCTTCTTCCTGAATTGTCTTTCTTTGCTTAGCTCCTCCCACAGTAGTTTTGGTTTCCCTCTTTCAGAGTGAAGAAAGCTTCAGTGAAGCTTCCTGAAATGTGTGGTGCTCTGGAAATAGCACTAAGGTAAAGACCTGTGACCTGCCAAATTCACTATGACAATTTTCACTCTATCTGTTTTTGCTGGTGCTCTTGAGTTAAGAGGCTGTCATTTTTTTAGTTTATTCAGGGAGTAAACATCTGGTTTCTTTTGACATGTGCACGTGTGTGTATGTACAGGGTGTTTGTGTGTGTGTGTGTGTGAACTTGACAGTCTTATAACCAAACTCATCTCATTCTAAACCTTCCCTGTGCCTCTGAGCCCTGACCCCTTGTGGGGTTTCTGCAAGACAAATCAGCTTGCTTCTCTTCACCATGGCCCCTCTATAGGCACTTGAGGGTCATTTCTTATGTTCCTCCTGGTCGGTTATCAAACCTTTATCAATTTTGCAGAAAATTACTGTAATGTCTTCTTACTGCTATTTCACTCCCATACTCTTTGTTCTTATATCTTCACACCTTAAAAAAGTCATTTGCTGTCATTTTAGTGAGGTCGAAAATAGGAGGCAGAGGAAATACACTTATGTGGCCATTCTTCTGACTTGACTTGCAAGTCTGTTGCTCTGCTTTAGATAGGTGACTTTGGTGGCAGCACTGAGGAAGATTTGAAGGGGTGGGCTGTTGGAAGCAGAGTCTAATTGAAAGGAATGTTCTATGAAGGGCTCTGTTCTTAATTCTTTTAAGGGGATTTAAAGTGTGAAACAGATTCTACATAAGCCAGGTAATTACTCTTAGGCAAGTGGATCACTGGGACAAATTTTATCCAGGTGCTGTGCATATAAAGTATTTCTTCATGCCTCACCCATATTTGCTAAGACTCTGAAACCTCACAGTAGGCACCTCCTGTGACTTGTAAGTATACCTATCGGGGCCAAAGCTGGTAGAAATCTTTGGGTGGTGATGTCATGTGTGCATCAGGGCGGCTCTGCAGCCATGCAGTGGGGAGATATTGCTACTGTGACAGTTTCTAGAAGGTCCTCCTTCCATGCTGCATTCAGTGCTCCCAAAGTCAAATTTACCCTGCCACCCATGTGTTCTCCTTCCTACTTCCCCTTTCCATCTTGGAGGTCTTTGTGTCATTCATGAGATTGTTATCATGGTTGGAAAATAATTGATTAGGAGCCTAGCTCTGTGAGAGAAACTTAAGAGAACTAGTGGTTCAACTCATAAATGCCAAGGAAACTTGCCTGTTAAATTTCCCTCTGGGAGAAGATAACTTTGTGCATGTGTATTTTTCATGCCTCTGTTTCCCAGCAGTATAAAAGGGACAAAAACAGAGTTAGATGCATAAAAATAGGCACAAAAAGTTTAAGGCCTGGTGAATATTCTTTTGGGAGGTTTGGGATAAGTTGGATGAATGAGTGAAACTTATCCTTTACTTCTTTATTCTTAGAGTTATAATTTCTTAAAAGCAAAATAAAATATCTGGGGACACGTCTTACCTTAGCTCTCCCATTTCTTCTGATCTGATCAGCAACAAGTTTGTGTTTCTGTAACGTGCTGAAGATTTGATGTAGAATAGAAACTGTATATTCTATAAAGGCAGAAAGAATGTACCTGTATTATTTTGTTATCATAGGAGATCTATCTATCTCTATGTATCTATGTATTTATCTGTCTACAATCTATCCATCCATCCATCCTATTTTTTAGAGAAGTTTTGAGTTCACAGCAAAATTGAACAGAAAATACAGAGAGTGCTCCTATATCCCTGCCCCAACACATGCACAACTTCCCCCACTACCAACACCCCACACTAGAACAGTACATTTGTTATCATCAATGAACGTACATTGACACACTGTTATCGCCCAAAGTCTATAGTTTACATTAGGGTTCACTCCTGGTGTTGTGTATTCTATGGATTTTGACAATGTGTAATGACACGTGGCCACCGTTATAACAGCACGTAGAGTAGTTTCGCTGTTCTAAAAATCCTTTGAACTTCACGTATTCATCTCTCCCTCCTCCTCTAACCCTGGCAAACTTTTCACTGTATCCATAGTTTTGCCTTTCCTAGAATGTCATTTAGTTGGAATCATACAGTGTGTAGCCTTTTCAGGTTGGCTTCTTTCATTTAGTAATATGCGTTTAAGTGTCCTCCATGTCTTCTCATGGCTTCATATCTCATTTCTTTTTAGCGCTAAATGATATTCTATTGTCTGGATGTACCACAGTTTATTTATCCATTCACCTATTCAAAGACATCTTGGTTGCTTCCAAGTTTTGGCAATTACGAATAAAGCTGCTATAAACATCTGTGTGAAGGTTTCTCTGTGGACATAAGCTTTCTACTCACTTGGGTAAATACCAAGGAGTGCGTTTTCTGGATTGTATGATAAGAGCATATTTAGTTTCATATGAAACCTCCAAACTGTCTTCCAAAGCGGCTGTACCATTTTGCATTCCCACCAGCAATGAATGAAAGCTCCTGTTGCTCCACATCCTTGCCAGAATTTGGTGTTTGTCAGTGTTTTGGATTTTGGCCATTCTAACAGATGTACAGTGGTGTCTCATTATTGTTTTAACTTGCAATTCTCTAATGAAATATGATGTTGAACACATTTTCTTATGCTTATTTGCCATCTTCTTTGGTGAGGTGTCCAGATCTTTTGCCCATTTTTAAATTGAGTTTTTTGTTTTCTTATTGTTGAGGTTTAAGAGTTTCTTTGTATGTTTTGGATAACAGTCCTTTATCACATATGTCTTTTGCAAATATTTTTTCTCATTCTGTGGTTTATCTTCTCATTCTTTAGATACGTCTTTTGCAGAGCAGAAGTTTCTAATCTTAATGAAGTCCAGCATATCAGTGATTTCTTTCATGGATCATGCTTTTGGTGTTGTATTTAAAAAGTCACTGCCAGGGAATTCCCTGGCGGTCCAGTGAATTAGGACTCAGTGCTTTCACTGCCATGGGCCCGGGTTCAATCCCTGGTCGGGGAACTAAGATCCTGTAAGCTGTGTGGTGTGGCCAAAAAAAAAAAAAAAAAAAAGTCACTGCCAAAACCAAGGACATCTAGATTTTCTCCTGTGTTATTTTCTAGGAGTTCTATAGCTTTGTGTTTTACTTTTAGGTCTACGATCCATTGTGAGTTAATTTTTGAGAAGGGTATAAGGTCTGTGTTTAGATGCATTTTTTAAAATTGAAGTATAGTTGATTTACAACATTGTGTTAGTTTCAGGTGTACAGCAAAGTGATTTGATTATTTTTTTTTCCAGATTGTGTGTGGATGTCCAGTTGTTCCTACACCATTTGTTGAAAAAACTAACTTTTCTCCATTGTATTGTCTTTGCTCCTTTGTCAAAGATCCGTTGACTGTATTTGTGGGGCTCTATTTCTGGGATCTCGATTCTGTTGATCTATCTGTCTGTTCTTTTGCCAGTACTACACTGTCTTGATTACTGTAGCTTTTTAGTGAGTCTTACAGTCAGATAGTGTAGGTCCTTCAACTTGGTTCTTCTCCTTCAATATTGTGTTGACTTTTCTCCATATACGCTTTAAAATCAGCTTGTCAGTGTCCACAAAATACCTTGTTGGCATTTTAACTTGTATAGCACTGAATCTATAAATCAAGGTGGAAAGAGCTAACATGTTAATAATACTGAGTCTTTTTATCCATGTACCTGGAATATGTCTTCATTTATTTAGCTTTTCTTTGATTAGAGTTTTGTAGTTTTCCTCGTATAGATCTTGTACATATTTTGTTAGATTTATACCTAAGTTTTTCATTTTTGAGGTACTTATATAAATGGTATTGTGCTTTTAATTTTAAATTCCAATTGCTTATTGCTGGTATATAAGAAAGCAGTTGACTTTTGTATATTAATCTTATATCTTTCTATAATCACTCATTAGTTCCAGGAGTTTTTTGTTGATTCTTTGGGTATTGCTTTTTTTTTTTTTAATATAGAACATTATGTTAGCTTCAGGTGTGCAATGTAATGATATTTTTGTATATATTGCAAAATGACCACCACAATAAGTTTAGTTTACAACTGTCATCAGATATAGTTACAGAATTTTTTTCTTGTGTTGAGAACTTTTAAGATCTACTTTTTAAGCAACTTTCAAAGATGCTGTACATTAAATTCTCATGACATTTATTTTGTAACTGGAAGTTTGTACTTGATTTTTTTTTGAACCTTTATCAGCAGTGCTTGAGTATGTATTTCTAGTAACCTTGTAGTTCTGCCCACAACTGCAGGTTTTCATAGCTAACGTTGCAACTATGAGTAACAATCTGGCTTCTTGGTATAGCATTGTGAAGCTCTCATTCTTTTATTAGAAACCATGTGGTCATAGGACCACAAGTTACCTGGGTGGGGCTCATTTCCTGTTGATCATGTCATTCTCAGTTTGATTACAGGCCAAGTGGTTGGAAAGATGAAAAGACAGTGGCTTGTGGTTTAGGCTTAGTGGGGTCATTTGATGAGAAGGAAAACTGAGCACAGGATAGAACCTTGAATTCAGATAGTCATGGGTAACACTAGCCAAAAGTAACTCTGTGTGCTCTGGTACAGAAACAGTGAGAGAAAGAGCCAAAATCAATGACTCAACAGTCTTAGTGACAAAGACTCAGAGTAGGGCTTAGGTCTATTAGATAATTGTTGATGTTATAGATACATGGATATGTGAACATTACTTTGGTTTTAAAATCTCAAGTGACAGAATAAATATTCAAAGCATGATGTAGTGTCTCTGTGTGCTCCCCACAAAATCTGTCATTACATTTAGGCCTGGTATTCATGTGCTTTTTATTAGAAAATGTCATTGAATATTTTTTTAAAAATTGTTTAAATTAATACTGAAGTCTTTTTCTTCCTTTCCTCCCCCTGCAACTTATAATTCAATTTTATCATGATGACCACTTTGTTTTTCACCCACTTATCTCTTAATACCTGCAAAGATAAAGATTTTGTTTTCAGGATTATAGTGTAGAACTGTTCATTTCTTGTAGGCTGCAGTGATGGAGTCAGAGATGAATACTTCCACATTCAAAGGTTCAGTGATATAAACTATTCCATACTCCAACCAGAGGTGAAGATTCATCTTACCGCTCTTCGAAATGACTATTGTAAGTTATTGCTTAGATCATGAATTGAAAAGTTGAAATGAAAAAATGTATTCTGTGCTCTGGCATAAACTTGAAATTTTATTCTGGAAGAACCAGATGGCCTTGTGCCTCATGCTTAAATGGTGTACCATCCAAATATGGTTAATATAGTGTTTTTTTCATTGTGGAATTTTCATGTTCAGGAATGGGTATTGTTGGTCTTGGTGAGGCACAAGAACTACACATTATGTTTTACTGTATTAGAATGAAGTGTATACTACCAAACATAAAATAGATAGCTAGTGGGAAGTAGCCGCATAGCACAGGGAGATCAGCTAGGTGGTTTGTGACCACCTGGAGGGGTGGGATAGGGAGGGTGGGAGGGAGGGAGACGCAAGAGGGAAGAGATATGGGAATATATGTATATGTATAACTGATTTACTTTGTTATAAAGCAGAAACTAACAAGCCATTGTAAACCAACTATACTCCAATAAAGATGTTAAAAAAAAAAGAATGAAGTGTATAAATGGTGGCCTGTTCTTATTCTTATATATTATTTATTTACACTCACAACTTTTATTTTTTATTAAAATTTTTTTTTATTGGAATATAGTTGATTTACAATGTTGTGTTAGTTTCAGGTGTAGAGCAAAGTGAATCTGTTATACATATACATATATCCATTCTTTTTGCTTATATTTTAAACATGGCTAAATCTTGTCAAATAACCACATTGGCTCTTTGTCTCTAGCTTCTTCTTATGTCACTAGCTTGTGATCTAGTTGGGAAGATGGGACTAACCCACATTGACCTGCTACCAACATGCCAATGTAGAGTATAAATAATAAATTGTGGGGTTTAAGGAGTTATAAGGACTATAGGTAGTTTGCTGATCTTTGGATTTGTTCAGAAAGGTTTTGTGGAGACATTCAGACTTGAGATGGATCTTAAAAGATGAGTAGGACTTGGAGGAGTGGAAGAGAGAAGATAGAGCATCTTCAGTGGTGTTAGCAGCATGAACAAAGGCAGGATGTTGGTAATTCATGGTAATTAATGGCAATGAAGAGGATACACTGAGGACTAGTGAATAGGAGGTGGTTGCAGATTATGGATATATTTCAAATCCTGATGTAGATTTTTAGATTTGTTGTGGGAATTCTCAACTAGGAGAAATATCAAAGGAAAATTCATGGCAGAGTATGCAGAATGCATTTAGCAGGAGAGCTACCAAAAAGTAAGGGACTGTTTTCTCTCCATGAGGAAAACTATATGGGAAGAGGGACAAGTTTAAGATTATTCCACGTTTTGAAGCAGGGGAAGGATGGTGTCACTGAGAAGACAAGTTAGCAGGAGAAGTCATGTGAGGAGGGAAGATTATTCTTGCAATATTACACTTGAGGAGACAGTGAGATGTACAAGAGTTTCTGGCAGGTTATTAGAAATGAGGTTTGTAGTTGAAAGAGGGGAAAGGCTAGAGTGTAGGTCAGATGAGTATGATTGAAGTTGAGAGCCCTGGTGAGCTCTCCTGGTGAGGGAGAAAGGAGCAGAGGGAAGAGGTCTGCTTCTCAGGAGCATTCACAGAGAGGAATGAGCAGGAAAAAGCAAAATCATTAAAGGGAGCAGTTCTCCTACCATTCTCCTCCTATACCTCTAAGAGAATTTATTGCCATGACTAATAAAAATTGAAGAATTCATTTCAAGAGATGTTTAAAAAGCACAACACTCATGTTAAAAAAAAGCCAACAAAAACCTTTTGTGCCTACTTCCCCTTCAGGCCATAACCCCTTTTGTCTCCTCCCTTTGACAGCAAAACTTGTCAAAAGATGTCTATATTCACAATTTCTTATTTCTCTCCCCATTGTCTTTGAATCCGCTTTAGTCAGTTCTTAAATCTCACCATTCCATTGAAACTGCCCTTCCAAACATCACCCAAAACTCTTCATTTCTAAATCCAGCAGTCACTTCTTGGAGCTCATTTACTTAACTCTATCAGCCACATTGGAGACAGTTGGTCATTCCCTCCTGCTTGATATCGCACTGTCTTGGTTTGCCTCCTAGCTTTCTGTTCACTCTTTCTTAGTCTTTTTTTGCTGGTTTCTCTTCCTCTTTTATCTCTCTGTCTCCTAAATTTTGGAATGCACCAAGTCTCATTCCTTGGACATCTTTTCTTTTTGACTTCTATTCTATTTTAGTTGATCTATTGGCTTTCTGGCTATATCTCCTTGTATTATGCTTTTAGTTGTAGCTCTAGGGATTGCAATGCAATCTAAACTTTCTCAGTCTACTTAGAATTACTGTTGCATATTTCACACAATATGTAAAAATCTTGCAGTCATATGTGTCTCCCCAGCCCCCAACTTTTTTGGGAGAGTTACTTTAGTTGTCTATGTTTTAAATCTACATGCATTGAAAACTCCACCATCGTTAAATTTTACTTTAAAAAGCCATACGCATTTGTGTTTTAAATATTTTAAGAGAGAAAAAATTGTCCTTTATATTTACCCAAATATTTACCAGTTACAACATTCTCCTTCATTCCTGAAGATCCAAATTTCCCTCTTATATAATTTCCTTTCAGTCAAAAGCTTCTGTTAGTATTCCTTGCAGATCAGGTCTGTTGGTAAAGACTTCTCTTACCCTTATCATAATATTTTTGCTTGATGTAGAATTCCGGGTTGTCAGATGTATTTTTTCAGCACTATAAAGATGTTCCACTGACTTCTGGCCTCTATGGTTTCTGGTGAGAACTCATTTGAAACCTTGCTCTCTTGCTTCCAAGACCTGACTCCAATTACACATATGTTAGATCTGTGGATATTATCCCACAAATCCCTGAGGTTCTGTCCATTTCTTTAACATTTTTTTCCCTCCATGTTCTTTATTTTTTATTTTATTTAATTAATTTATTTTTTAAATATTTTTATTGGAGCATAACTGCTTTACAATGGTGTGTTAGTTTCTGCTTTATAACAAAGTAAATCAGTTATACATATACATATATCCCCATATCTCTTCCCTCTTGCATCTCCCTCCCTCCCACCCTCCCTATCCCACCCTTCTAGCTGGTCACAAAGCACCGAGCTGATCTCCCTGTGCTATGCGACTGCTTCCCACTAGCTATCTATTTTACATTTCCTCCATGTTCTTTAGATTGAATAATTTGAGTTTTCCCTGCACTTACACGATTTGGGGTTAGGCTGAGATGTGTGTGGGTTTATACACTCACAATTAGAGGATGCCTTTCTGTGGCTCCCCTCCCATCCCTCCCAGGCTTTCTCCTCACACTTTGGCCATTTCAGGCTCCTTTCTCTGGTTTCTTTGACTAGCGACATGGTGGGCTTTCTGTCAGAGTTTGAGCTGCTGGTGTTACTCCATGATTGGGGCCCACCCTCAGGGTAAAGCCGTGTGAAGAAAAAAATGGAAAACTCACCCCTGGGCAGGTTGCTTCTCCAAGTTTTCACTCCCTTACTTGGTTTACCTGCTTTTGCTGATTTTCCAGAGTTCTCAGGTATTTGTTTTTTGAATTTTGTTCAGAGTTTGTAGTTTGCATCAGTGGGAAGGATGAGTTATAGGGGATTAGACTGCTCTAGTGAAACTGGTGTGCTTCATAGTTTTGTACTGATATGTGTCAATCAGGATAGGAGTTTCTGTCTTATAAGAAATAAGATAGGGTACAGTTTAGTATGTGGTCATACAAATATGGTTTCTCTGAGCAGTCATATGATTTTTATAGAGTAAGATAGAGAATACTACTAAGAACTTCTAGATATCATAAATAAGCCAGAGATCACCTCTTCTAGATATACTGTAATTGGGTTGCCTTTTGATTAGCAATATGGTGTCATCTCCCATATGTATATTCTAGGTCTGAGGATGTCTCCATAAGAATTACATGCTTTTAAATTTTAATGATCTGTTAGATGAAATCCATTTATATTTATAATGGTAGATGAACTGCCAAGTTTTCTAAATGCCTCTAAATAAGTATATAAGAGCATAAATGGTGTTATTGCTTATTACACTGTGTATCTTGATACAAGATTCTATTCCAGCTTTCATTTTTGAACTTCTCATGGTCTGCTTGGATCCATGATTCTGTTTTCCAGCCGACCATAGGGAAGTTATCAATCTTTCTCCTCTACCTATAAATAAAGTTATTTGAAAATATTTTTATTTGGCTGTATAATCACCCTAATTTGAAATGCTTTTCTTATAGATCTGAATATCCTAGACTGGAATTTGCAAAATCTTGTTGCTATAGCCCTTGGATCTTCTGTATACATCTGGAATGGGGATAATCACAATACGATTGAAAATATAGACTTAAGTGTCACTTGTAACTATATATCTTCTGTGTCCTGGACAAAAGAGGGAACCTGCCTGGCAGTTGGCACCAGCGAGGGAGAAGTGCAAGTACTGGTCAGCTTTTTCTTTCTCATAATGTGTTCTGTATAGTTGCTAGATAACTAAGATTGACTTTTAATAACAGCTTATTATAAAATAAAGAAACTATAGTAGATGTGGTACTTGAAGCTATGAGGAGTAAGAGGATATACCATTTTGGGTCTTTTCTGAATGGTGTTTAATGAGGATGTAGGGATACTCTGCTTAGTTTTTTCACACAAGCTTTCTTTCTGTCACATTTCCTTTTTTCGCCCCCGTTCTTTCTCTCGGACTAAAGTTGGACTTAGGAGATCCCCAGTTTTAGGACTTTGGAGAGAAGAAAACAACCTTCCAGTCTTCCTTTCTCACCTTAAGCCATGATCAGGAGTAGAGTTACTTAAAATGAGTGAATTTTTTTTCTAATAGGCTGTCTGAAATAGGAGCTTACCAAGTTTCCATCAATCTATCTAATTTCTCATGTACCATTATTGTTATTGTTATTGTTGTTTATTAGCAATAGTGTAAACAATATCGCTCAGGTGTTCAATGACTTTGGAGGGTCACAGATGGCTGTACTGTTTTCTCATCTCTGTAATGATACTGGATACTATGAGGGTTATGTCATGATTTCTTCTTATGCCAAAGTTCTTCCTAATATGGGTCAGAATACCATTGATAGCTGGCAGAAAAGGAGTCTCTTAGCAGTAAATAGAATTCCTGACTTTACGAAGTGTCTAGGCACTCAAATTTTATTTGTTGATAACTATAGGTGAATTTCCAGGTTTGGAATTCCCACAGTTTGAAGGAACTAGAAGTGTCATAGTGATTCTCAACCCTTTGCAGCCCATTGACTTCACCTGGAGAACTTTAAAATAAATGCCATATCCCCAGGCTCTTACTCCCACCATTAAATCAGAATGGCTAGCACCCATAGCCTGCTCCCTCAATGATCCTAATATGCAGACAGCATTGAAAACTGCTGACTAGGGTTAGAGGTGCCGAACTTTCACTTAGCATAAGGACTGGCTATATCAACACTAGTTGGCTATCAGGCCTTTGAGAAGACCGTGGATTGTGAAAATGCTACATAACCGTGCTTGTTCATTTTTTTCAGTTATGGGATGTGGTCACTAAAAAGCGACAGAGAAATATGCTTGGTCATTTGTCAGTAGTTGGGGCTCTAAGCTGGAATAACTACATCCTTAGCAGGTGAGCAGTGTCTTACTGGAACCAATTATATTTGCATCACCAATTGACTATGGGTGCTGAGTGAACAGAACTACAATATTTAAAACCAAAACCAAAGTAAAACAAAGCAGACATGATTAGTAACAGTTATGATTCTACCTGTCAGGTATTCAGACCTGGTGCTATAAGAGGTCCAGTGGCCGCGTGTACCATGGTGGCTCTGTGCCTAAAGCATGTACTCATACTGAGATGTGACGTTCAGGATTCATTAGATTGTTCAGATAAAATGTAAAACTCTGTTTAAGCAAAAAGTTTCTCTGTACCAAGTAATACCTACTAGAGGGATATTTTTTTGAAATGGGTGTTTATTGATATCAGTATCACTAATTTGGAATATGTTAAGCTTTCTGGGGGGCACATTTCCAATTCACAGACCCACAGAGGTTAGAGCTGGAAGGAACCTCATAGATTAACCAGTTCGGTGATTCTCAGGCTTGAGAGTGTGTCAGAATCCCTGGAGGGCTCCTCAAAACCCAGATTGCTGCTCTCGCTCTGGGAATTTCTGATTCAGTAGGTCTGAGGTGTGCTGATAATATGCATTTCTAATTTCCCAAGTGATGCTGACACTTTATCACTTTTGAGGACTACTAATTTAGTCATCTAACTGCTTCTTTTTGACCAGGAACGTTAAGCGACTTGTCCCTGTGAGCCTACATAATTGGTCTAAATACGTATTTAACAACAGTCATTCATCTTCATACTGTATTTCTTAAAGTAGATTTAAATTTAAATAAAATTTGAAGCCTTTTACAATTTCTTTAAGTAGCACAGATGTAAATTTGATATTTTATTTATTTATTTATTTAAAAATCTTTATTGGGGTATAATTGCTTTACAATGGGGTGTTAGTTTCTGCTTTATAACAAAGTGAATCAGTTATACATATACATATGTTCCCATATGTCTTCCCTCTTACGTCTCCCTCCCTCCCACTCTCCCTATCCCACCCCTCCAGGCTGTCACAAAGCACCGAGCTAATATCCCTGTGCCTTGTGGCTGCTTCCCCCTAGCTATAAATTTGATATTTTAATACCTTGTGATTATAGGCCAGACTTAAAACTACTTAAGCAAATTGCTCTTATATAGACCTAAATATTTACCCTGTGAAGTTGTTGTACTCTGGTCAATTCTATACTCGAGTTCCTTTTACAATCTATTTACATTGCTTAAGTTTAGTTTCATTATCCGTGAGGAACATGAACAAACACTTTCTTACAATCATAGCAGCTAACATTTTAGAATACTCTGTGCCAGGCAATGCGCTAACTCTTTAGGTGTGTAATCACGTTTTAATCCCTGCAATGACATTATAAAGTGGTTTATATCCCCCCACCCTCTTTTTCTGAGGAGTAAACTGAGACACCAGCCTGAGGTCACATGGTTAACGTAAGGGGAAGAGTCAGGCTTCGAACCAGGTGGTCTGGCCACAGAGTCCATACTGTTCATCAAAATGCTATCTGGGCTGTGCCTAAGTAGTTTTTAAAAATCTGATACTGCACTTTGAGAAACTTCAGAAATAATTGTAGGCAGTTATTTACTTTCTCCTTGGAGGAAACTAGTCCAGTAAGAGTTCATTATCTTTGTGAGACAGGACCCTTATCATCATTTGGATCCAAATCACTGAGAGTGGAGACATTATCCAGTGATTTTGAATCATATTGCAGTTTGCTGTGACATTCAGATAGTTTTATATTCTTTTTAGATATTAGTAGCATGAGCAAACTAATAGTAGATCTGTAGATTAATAGAAAAAGGAAATAATACATTTTTATGTCTAACACATATATCATACACATATGCCATTTCATTAAGATAATATGAAATATTCTGAATTCCAGAAAAGTATTATTTCCTGGGTTCAGTACATAAACTACTATCTGGGAAAAGATGATAATCTTCTAAATTTATTTTTTCCATGCCTGCATTAAAGCCATTAAAGTTAAAGCCATTAACTTTAAAGCATCATATTAAAGCCATTAGAGTTATCTATCAAAATATATCTTTTAAATATCCAGTTTTGAAACTCTGCCAAGCAAATCTATTTCACTTGTGGGAAGAATCACCCAGGCAGAATACTCCATCCTTATTAACTCAAGAAATGTCTATGTTTTGAATCTGTCCTAAGGGGTCTTTCAGGAGTTTGAACAATACTTTCTTTCATGTTATGCTTATGCAGCATTAGGGCTCAAGTTTTCTGTCCTAAACCTGCCCCTTTACCTCTGGGCAGTGGGTCGAGACTGGGCCGTGTTTATCATCACGATGTTCGGGCAGCCCAGCACCATGTTGGAACTCTTCACCACAAGCAAGCTGTGTGTGCCCTGAAGTGGTCGCCGGGTGGCAGGCTGCTTTCCAGTGGCTGTAGTGACGGACTGCTGACTATATGGCCCCATGATCCAGGTGTGAATGCACAGGGTCACCCGCTAAACGTCATACCCCAACCTACAGCAGTCAAGGTAATAAAAATCCAACAGTTTTGAAAGGTGTGCTTGCGCTGGAGGTTAGTTAAGCATGGGGCATCTGGTGTAAAGTTAGTTAACATATAGTTTTGCTGAAGTGACAAGACAAAAGATCTGCAGAGAGCTGCTTCCTGGAAAGAGCTGCTTACATTCTTCGATGTCTTATCAGAAATACATTGAATTGAACTAAGAGTTTCTGGAGACCTGGGCAAGCCAAACCTTGTGGCAGCTACTACCTGGGGAATCATAAGAACAGTCACTAGTGTAAATACTTTCACACTCACCACCGACTAGCCAACTAGTATAGCAGGAGCAGCAGCAGACTCAGAGGTTGACGTCTGTGTGATTTCTTTCATGATGGAGATTCTAGTTTTGCCAAAACAGCTTGTTTATAGTAAAAGCTAACTGGAAGTAGGGTATTGAAGAAAATGATTGCTAATAAACACAAAGATACTCTCTTAAAAACATAAAAATATTCTATGATGAAACTGGGGTCCATGGGCTCAGGAGAATTTCTCAGCCTTTTCAAATTGTATGCAAAATTTTGTGTTTACTGAAATAGCCCTCTTATCCAGCCTAGTCAGGGGTGTAGCTGAATGGTTATTTAAAAAAGACTACTAAGGTAGGTAACCATAAGATATGATACATATATATTGCAAATATTTTATTTCAACTGAAAATTAAATTGTACATTTATTCACAATACAAGGTCAAGGTCTTTACTTTGAAGGTAGGTTGACTGATTAGAGCTCTTCACTGTCTTTCTTATATGAACTACAACCATATTTCATTGTTTACGTTTTCTATTTATGGTATTTATTCTGGTTATCTATTGTTATGTAACAAATTACCCTAAAACCTAGTGGCTTAACACAACGATTATTTTATTATCTCTTATGGTTTCTTGGGGTCAAGACTTTGGGAAAGGCTCTTCTCAGCAGTTCTGTCTCAGGGTCTCTCATGGGGTTGTAGTCAGACAGTGACTCAAGGTAAAAGTGCTGGGAGCTGGCGCAGCTGTTGGCTGGCTAGTCATCCTTCCCTCTTCATGTGGTCTCAGACCTTCTCCACATTGGGTCACTTTGGGCTTCCTCACAACATGGCAGTCTTAAGAGAGTTGGACTTTGTGGCTCAGGGCAACAGGGCCAGTGCTTCAGAGAACAAGGTGAAAGCGGCATCACCTTTTATAACTAATTCCACAAGTCACGCAGTGACACTGTTGGTGCATTCTGTTGTTTGTAAGCCAGTCACAGCCCTCCCAGATTCAAAGGGAGGAGAATGAGATCCCACATATTGATGGAGGATGTTGGTAAAGGGTATGTGGGATGGGAGATTAATTTTTAACTCCAATTAATCTTAAACTCAGGATGAGATTAATGGACTCATTTGATGCTGGTGTTATAAAAAGTTACAACTATTTGGAAACCTATATCAGCACTTCTGAAGCTTGGAATTTACCTAAAAAAATAATATATGAGAAACAAAAGACATATGCCAGAATGTATTTATTATAGTATTCTTTTTAAAAATTTTAAAATTTTATTTATTTTTTATACAGCAGTTTCTTATTAGTCATCAATTTTATACACATCAGTGTATACATGTCAATCACAATCTCCCAATTCATGACACCCCCCACCCCCAATTGCCCCCCTTGGTGTCCTTACATTTGTTCTCTACATCTGTGTCTCTATTTCTGCCCTGCAAACCAGTTCATCTGTACCATTTTTCTAGGTTCCACATAAATGTGTTAAGATACGATATTTGTTTTTCTCTTTCTGACTTACTTCACTCTGTATGACAGTCTCTAGATCCATCCACGTCTCCACAAATGACCCAGTTTTGTTCCTTTTTATGGCTGAGTAATATTCCATTCTATATATGTACCACATCTTCTTTATCCATTCCTCTGTCGATGGGCATTTAGGTTGCTTCCATGACCTGGCTATTGTAAATAGTGCTGCAATGAAGGTTGGGGTGCATGTGTCTTTTAGAATTATGGTTTTCTCTGGGTATATGCCCAGGAGTGGGATTGCTGGGTCATATGGTACCTCTATTTTTAGTTTTTTTAAGGAGCGTCCATACTGTTCTCCATAGTGGCTGCATCAATTTACATTTCCACCAACAGTCCAAGAGGGTTCTCTTTCCTCCACACCCTCTCCAGCATTTGTTGTCTGTAGATTTTCTGATGATGGCTATTCTGACTGGTGTGAGATGATACCTCATCGTAGTTTTGATTTGCATTTCTCTAATAATTAGTGATGTTGAGCAGCTTTTCTTGTGCTTCTTGGCCATCTGTATGTCTTCTTTGGAGAAATGTCTATTTAGGTCTTCTGCCCATTTTGGGATTGGATTGTTTGTTTTTTTAATATTGAGCTGCATGAGCAGTTTATATATTTTGGAGGGTAATCCTTTGTCCATTGATTTGTTTGCAAATATTTTCTCCCATTCTGAGGGCTGTCTTTTCATCTCGTTTGTAGTTTCCTTTGATTTGCAAAAGCTTTTAAGTTTCATTAGGTCCCATTTGTTTATTTTTGTTTTAATTTCCGTTACTCTAGGACATGGATTAGAAAAGATCTTTCTGTAATTTATGTCAAAGAGTGTTCTTCCTATGTTTGCCTTTAAGAGTTTTATAGTGTCTCGTCTTACATTTAGGCCTCTAATCCATTTTGATTTTATTTTTGTGTATGGTGTTAGGGAGTGTTCTAATTTCATTCCTTTACATGTGGCTGTCCAGTTTTCCCAGCACCACTTATTGAAGAGGCTGTCTTTTCTCCATTGTATATCCTTGCCAACTTTGTCATAGCTTAGTTGACCATAGGTGCATGGGTTTATCTCTGGGCTTTCTATCCTGTTCCATTTACCTATATATCTGTTTTTGTGCCAGTACCATATTGTCTTCATTACTGTAGCTTTGTAGTATAGTCTGAAGTGAGGGAGTCTGATTCCTCCAGCTCCGTTTTTTTCCCTCAAGACTGCTTTGGCAATTCGGGGTCTTTTGTGCCTCCATACAAATTTTTTTTTTCCATACAAATTTTAAGATTTTTTTCTTCTAGTTCTGTAAAAAATACCACTGGTAATTTCATAGGGATTGCACTGAATCTGTAGATTGCTTTGGGTAATATAGTCATTTTCACAATATTGATTCTTCCAATCCAAGAACATGGTATATCTCTCCATCTGTTTGTATCATCTTTAATTTCTTTCATCAGTGTCTTATAGTTTTCTGCATACAGGTCTTTTTTCTCCTTATGTACATTTATTCCTAGTTATTTTATTCTTTTTGTTGCAATGGTAAATGGGAGTGTTTCCTTAATTTCTCTTTTAGATATTTCATCATTAGTGTATAGGAATGCAAGAGATTTCTGTGCATTAAGTTTGTATCCTGCTACTTTACCAAATTCATTGATTAGCTCTAGTAGTTTCCTGGTGGCATCTTTAGGATTCTCTATGTATAGTATCATGTCACCTGCAAACAGTGACAGCTTTACTTCTTCTTTTCTGACTTGTATTCCTTTTATTTCTTTTTCTTCTCTGATTACCATGGCTAGGACTTCCAAAACTATGTTGAATAATAGTGGCAAGAGTGGGCAACTTTGTCTTGTTCCTGGTCTTAGAGGAAATGCTTTCAGTTTTTCACCATTGAGAATGATGTTTGTTGTGGGTTTGTTATATATAGCCTTTATTATGTTGAGGTAGGTTCCCTCTGTGCCCGGTTTCTGGAGAGTTTTTTATCATAAATGGGTGTTGAATTTTGTCAAAAGCTTTTTATGCATCTATTGGGATGAGCATATGGTTTTTATTCTTCAATTTGTTAATATGGTGTACCACATTGATTTATTTGTGTACATTGAAGAATGCTTGTATCCCTGGGATAAATCCCACTTGATCATGGTGTATGATCCTTTTAATGTCTTGTTGGATTCTGTTTGCTTGTATTTTATTGAGGATTTTTGAATCTATATTCATCAGTGATATTGGTCTGTAATTTTCTTTTTTTGTAGTATTTTTGTCTGGTTTTGGTATCAGGATGATGGTGGCCTCGTAGAATGAGTTTGGGAGTGTTCCTTTCTCTGCAATTTTTTGGAAGAGTTTGAGAAGGATGGGTGTTAGTTCTTCTCTAAATGTTTGATGGAATTCGCCTGTGAAGCCATCTGGTCCTGGACTTTCGTTTGTTGGAAGATTTTAAATCACAGTTTCAATTTCATTACTTGTGATGGGTCTGTTCATATTTTCTGTTTCTTCCTGGTTCAGTCTTGGAGGGATATACCTTTCTAAGAATTTGTCCATTTCTTCCAGGTTGTCCTTTTTATTGGCATAGTGTTGCTTGTAGTAGTCTCTTAGGATGCTTTGTATTTCTGCGGTGTCCATTGTAACTTCTCCTTTTTCATTTTTAATTTTTTTGATTTGAGTCCTCTCTGTCTTTTTCGTGATGAGTCTGGCTAAAGGTTTCTCAATTTTGTTTATCTTCTCTAAGAACCATCTTTTAGTTTTATTGATCTTTGCTATTGTTTTCTTTGTTTCTATTTCATTTATTTCTGCTCTGATCTTTATGATTTCTTTCCTTCTACTAACCTTGGGTTTTGTTTGTTCTTCTTTCTCTAGTTCCTTTAGGTGTAAGGTTAGATTGTTTATTTGAGATTTTTCTTATTTCTTGAGGTGTGCTTGTATTGCTATAAACTTCCCTCTTAGAACAGTTTTTGCTGCGTCCCATAGGTTTTGGATTGTTGTATTTTCGTTGTAATTTTTCTCTAGGTATATTTTGATTTCCTCTTTGTTCTTCAGTGATCTCTTGCTTATTTAGTAATGTATTGTTTAGCCTCCATGTGTTTGTGTTTTTTACGTTATTTTCCCTGAATTGATTTCTAATCTCATAGCATTGTGGTTGGAAAAGATGCTTGGTATCATTTCAATTTTCTTAAATTTACTGAGGCTTGATTTGTGACTCAAGATGTGATCTATCCTGGAGAATGTTCCGTGTGCACTCGAGAAGAAAGTGTAATCTGCTCTTTTTGGATGGAATGTCCTATAAATATCAATCAAATCTATCTGGTCTATTATGTCATTTAAAGCTTGTGTTTCCTTATTAATTTTCTATGTGGGTGATCTGTCCATTGGTGTAAGTGAGGTGTTAAAGTCCCCCACAATTATTGTGTTACTGTCGATTTCCTCTTTTATAGATGTTAGCAGTTGCCTTATGTATTGAGGTGCACCTGTGTTGGGTGCATATATATTTACAATTGTTATATCTTCTTCTTGGATTGATCCCTTGATCATTATGTAGTGTCCTTCCTTTTCTCTTGTAACATTCTTTATTTTAACGTCTATTTTATCTGATATGAGTATTGCTACTCCAGCTTTCTTTTGATTTCCATTTGCGTGGAATATCTTCTTCCATCCCCTCACTTTCAGTCTGTATGTGTCCCTAGGTCTGAAGTGGGTCTCTTGTAGACAGCATATATATGGGTGTTGTTTTTGTATCCATTCAGCAAGCTTGTGTCTTTTGGTTGGAGCATTTAATCCATTCATGTTTAAGGTAATTATCAATATGTATGTTCCTGTTACCATTTTCTTAATCGTTATGTGTTTGTTTTTGTAGGTCCTTTTCTTCTCTTGTGTTTCCCACTTAGAGAAGTTCCTTTAGCATTTGTTGTCAAGCTGGTTTGGTGTGCTGAATTCTCTTAGCTTTTGCTTGTTCATAAAGCTTCTGATTTCTCCATTGAATATGAATGAGATCCTTGATGGGTAGAGTAATCTTGGCTGTAGGTTATTCCCTTTCATCACTTTAAATATATTGTGCCATGTGCCACTCCCTTCTGACTTGTAGAGTTTCTACTGAGGAATCAGCTGTTAACCTTATGGGAGTTCCCTTGTATGTTATTTGTCGTTTTTCTCTTGTTGCTTTCAATAATTTTTCTTTGTCTTTAATTTTTGTCAGTTTGATTACTCTGTGTCTCAGCATGTTTCCCCTTGGGTTTGTGCTACCTGGGGCTCTCTGTGCTTCCTGGACTTGGGTGGCTATTTCCTTTCCCATGTTAAGGAATTTTCGACTATAATCTCTTCAAATATTTTCTCGGGTCTTTCTCTCTCTCTTCTCCTTCTTGGACCCCTATAATGCAAATGTTGTTTAATTTTGTCCCAGAGGTCTCTTAGGCTGTCTTCATTTCTTTTCATTCTTTTTTCTGTATCCTGTTCCACAGCAGTGAATTCCACCATTCTGTCTTCCAGGTCACTTATAGGTTCTTCTGTCTCAGTTATTCTGCTATTGATTCCTTGTAGTGTATTTTTCATTTCAGTTATTGTATTGTTCATCTCTGTTTGTTTGTTCCTTAATTATTCTGGGTCATTGTTAAACATTTCTTGAATCTTCTCGATCTTTGCCTCCATTCTTTTTCCGAGGTCCTGGATCATCTTCACTATCATTATTCTGAAAAATTTTTTCTGGTTGCCTATCTCTACTTCATTTTGTTGTTTTTCTGGGGTTTTATCTTGTTCCTTCATCTGGTACATAATCCTCTGTCTTTTCATTTTGTCTATCTTTCTGTGAATTTGGTTTTGTTCCACAGGCTGCAGAATTGTAGCTTTTCTTGCTTCTGCTGTCTGCCCTCTGATGGACGAGGCTATCTAAGAGGCTTGTGCAAGCTTCCTGATGGGAGGGACTGGTGGTGGGTAGAGCTGGGTGTTGCTCTGGTGGGCAGAGCTCAGTAAAACTTTAATCTGCTTGTCTGCTGATGGGTGGGGTTGGGTTCCCTCCCTGATGGTTGTTTGGCCTGAGGCAACCCAACACTGGAGCCTACCTGGCTCTTTGGTGGGGCTAATGGCCAACTCTGGGAGGACTCATGCCAAGGAGTACTTCCCAGAACTTCTGCTGCCACTGTCCTTGTCCCCGTGGTGAGCCACAGCCACCCTCTGCCTCTACAGGAGACCCTCCAACACTAGCAGGTCGGTCTGGTTCAATCTCCTATGGGGTCACTGCTCCTTCCCCTGGGTCCCGATGTGCACACTACTTAGTGTGTGCCTTCCAAGAGTGGAGTCTCTGTGTCCCCCAGTCCTGTCAAAGTCCTGCAATCAAATCCCACTAGCCTTCAAAGTCTGATTCTCTAGGAATTCCTCCTCCCATTGCCAGACCCGCAGGTTAGGAAGCCTGAACTGGGGCTCAGAACCTTCACTCCAGTGGGTTGACTTCTGTGGTAAGTGTTCTGCAGTTTGTGAGTCACCCCCCCAGCAGCTATGGGATTTGATTTTACTGTGATTGCGCCCCTCGTACCATCTCATTGTAGTTTCTCCTTTGTCTTTGGATGTGGGGTATCTTTCTGGTGAGTTCCAATGTCTTCCTATCGATGATTGTTCATCAGTTAGTTGTGATTCCAGTGCTCTCACAAGAGGGAGTGAGCGCACATCCTTCTACTCCACCATCTTGAACCCTATTAAAGTATTCTTTATAAAAACAAACAACAAAAACACAATCCCCCCAAATCCACTTCTTTTCAAAAAACTCAGCCCAAGCCAGTGCAAACCAAACCAAAATAAGATAAAAAATCAACCTGAGTCCAGAATTAGAACAAACATTAATTAGAGTATAATAACGTGATGGAATATTGTGGGATTACTAAAAATGATAACTATGAAAAATAAACATGGAAAGCCATATAATAAGTGAAAACAACAGAAAAATAAAATAGTATATACATCATGCTTAGTACTTTATAAAATACTTTTACATATAGAAGATAATATGTAAAAATGAGAATAGTTGCCAGGATGATTGATAAGGATATACAGATAAATATGACTGAAATATTTGTTAAAATGTTTTTTAAAGTTACTGTTACTAGTCATTTCAATTATTAATATAAATGTATAATATTAAATTCTGTTTTTCAGAATTAACAATAACAATTTATAACTAAAGAAAAGGCAATTTTATTTTCTAAAATGTATTAAGATTTGAAATACATGAGATTTTCTTGTGTTGTGAGTAAGCATGTATAGCTCTCCATTCTTTTCTATTCCCTCTCTGACCTAGAACCTAAGGACACAGGTAGACAAACCAGAGGAAGACTGTATTTTGTAACCAGATGCTAGGGGCACATGTCAACTCTTCCAGCAGCAGATTTTTGCCCCAGAGGATGTGTTGAATGAAGCTTTTCAAACATATTATTGTGTGGTTTTTCTATGTTTAAAATATTTGCAATTGTTATCTAAATTTGAAGAAGGCACCAATATGTGATTTCTAGTCCCTGAGAAGTAATCTCTGGAGAGTAAAGTAGCTCTTGCCTTTGGATCAGAGGTCCTGGAAATCTGCCACAGGGACAGAGCTCTGGAGCTTCTGCTTATATGCGTGCAGCTCATTCATGAGTTCACCTTCTCCAAAGCTGACCTGCCTGTGTGATTATTTGGAACTTTAAAGGCCATGGATTGGTGTCCCTGGCAGTCTGAAATCCTCGCTGTTGGAGGAGGAATGAAGGATGGACACTTACACATCCTGGACATCAATACTGAGCAGAGCATCCAGGCCCCAAGCACAAACTCACAGGTAAATGTCTCTCAGGGAGTTTACCTTCATTCTGGTCTTCTAGAATCTTGTGAAAATAACTTATGATAGAGCATCGGACCCAAACACACCTCTCTTTACCTGCTAAGTCTACAGGAATTTCAGTTCTTAAGAGTTTCTTTTTGTAAAACCTTCTTCATCTGTGAGTTGAAAGTTAATTTAACTTGTGTGTCCTTTCTTTTTCATTTCCCTTCTTTCTCAGCACTGCTTTGACTGAGAAACTTGAGAGTAGTCTGACTGTTCCTGGACAGTGATCATAGCCCACTTCAGTTCATAGGTTCATTGTGCCTAAGCCTATTTGTATATTTAGTCTTTTGTTGCCTTGGGATAAACTTTCCTAGAACTAACATAATTCCTCTAATAACCTAACCCCACGTATGGACTGGAGGATAGATGTGGACAGAACACACTGCCTAGAATCAGTTTAAAATGCATTCAGTGAATCAGAAATTGCCGTAATTCTATACTTTGGGGGTCATTATTACAGATTTGTTCCCTAATCTGGCTACCTAAGACAAAGGAGATCGCAACTGGCCAAGGGTCTCCTAAGAATGATGTGACTGTGTGGTCCTGTCCTGCTCTGGCCAGGTCACGTGGCTTTTTTGGTAAGTAAATAGGTAAGTAAAATTCCATGTCCCTATTGCAAAGTGAGCCGCTACTGGTGGAAAAATCCATGAATGGAAGATATTCTCCTTCTGGTTCTTTGAAGTATATATTTTATCAGAGGAAAAAGCCCTACACCCACCACACCTCTGGTGTGAGTGTTTCTGAATTTGATTGTTCGTCACTTATAACTGTCATGTCTTGCATTTGTTCGTCACTTATAACTGTCATGTTCTTGCATTTGTGTATGCAGTGATGATTGTGGACAGTTTTCAAAATGTGTTTCTGAACTCTGGAGTTAGCATTATGACTCATCTTACCCTATTTTGCAGAAGAACCAGCAGAGCTGAAATGTGTGGGAGATAAGGAAGTATGAAAAGGGTGAGACATTGTTGTATGTGGGGAGACCACTCCAGACTGTGAGACTCTGGGGAGCCTCTGCCCTTTCAAGGCAGACTGCTGTTCTTTGTCAGCGTAGTTCTGTAAATGTTTACTGGTTACTTCTTGAGAGCAAGACCCCATGATGGAGAACAGGACCCGGGCCTTGTCCTCAAGAATCTTAAATGCTCTTTGGTGCAATCTGAAATGTTAAAGGGGGCTGAGGGAAATAGGGAGACAGAAGTGTTGGCTAATGAAGGAACAGAGCACTGGCATCCAGTCTCTTGTAGACCTCTGATTACATATTCTATCTTCTTCCTCTTGCCACTCAACTTGTCTTCTGGTCATCCCTGGAAGTTATTTATTTAACATTTATTTATTTAGCATCTACTATGTGCCAGGCACTTTTAATGGCACTGGGAATACACAGGTGAACCAGACAGACAATATCCTTGCCCTCATGGAGCTCACACTTTTGTGGGAGCAGACAGACAAAAACCAAATATATACAATATTAGGTAGTGATAATACCATGACTCTCTTTGGAGAGTCTGAGAATGTTATTGGCCACAACAAAACACCCTTAACAGAAAGACTTCCTGCTTCTGCGGTCAGGCTGGCTGGAGCTCAGTTTAGCCTCAAAATGAGTATATATCCTTCAGCTGTTATACTGTGTGACTAGGTGAATAAAAATACAGGCATGGTACAGCCACTATGGAGAACAGTATGTAGGTTCCTTAAAAAATTAAAATAGAACTACCATACAACCCAGCAATCCCACTACCGGGCATATACCCTGAGAAAACCATAATTCAAAAAGAGTCATGTACCACAATGTTCATTGCAGCTCTATTTACAATAGCCAGGACATGGAAGCAACCTAAGTGTCCATTGACAGTTGAATGGATAAAAAAGATGTGGCACATATATACAATGGAGTATTACTCAGCCATAAAAAGAAACGAAACTGAGTTATTTGTGGTGAGGTGGATGGACCTAGAGTCTGTCATACAGAGTGAAGTAAGTCAGAAAGAGAAAAACAAATACCATATGCTAACACATATATATGGAACCTTTAAAAAAAAATGGTTCTGAAGAACCTAGGAACAGGTCGGGAATAAAGACGCAGACCTACTAGAGAATGGACTTGAGGACACGGGGAGGGGGAAGGGTAAGCTGGGAAAAAGTGAGAGAGTGGCATGGACATATAAACACTACCAAATGTAAAACAGGTAGCTAGTGGGAAGCAGCCGCATAGCACAGGGAGATCAGCTCGGTGTTTTGTAACCACCTAGAGGGGTAGGATAGGGAGGGTGGCAGGGAGATGCAAGAGGGAGGAGATATGGGGATATATGTATATGTATAGCTGATTCACTTTGTTATAAAGCTGAAACTAATGCGTCATTGTAAAGCCATTATACTCCAATAAAGACGTTAAAAAAAAAAAAATACAGGCAGCTCTTGACAGAGCCACTTCTGTACCAGCATGAGTGCAGGAGAAGCATGAGTTGGTCCTTTGCATATATTTAATCACAATTCACCAGACCTTTTCAGTTTAGAGAAACACTTAAAATCAAGCCTCAAAACCCAGTTCTTTACAAAATTATAATTCCAGCAGCTAGATAGGTCCATCAGCTAGGTGGGAGTACTGATAGATACTTGAACCATTTGCTCATGCTTAGAATAAGGAATGTACTTAGTGTGTTTTTGTTTCTCTATCCTTAATAAGTTATACTTTTCTAGTTTTAATGACTTGTGAATTTTTTTCATCGATATTAGAGAGCTATCCAAAGGTACATTTAACCTTTTCTCCTTCCTTTAAAATGCTTTTGGTTGGAGAAGTTGCAGTTAATTTTGAACTTTTAGACACTAATTTTCATCTCTAACTCAGTAGTTTCTGCTGTGTACGAGATTTCCCCAAAGTATTTAGCAGGAAGATTGTTTTACAAACACACATCATGTGGTCAGATAAATTTGGAAATTCTGGGTTAAACAAGAACAGTTTTTCTTTCCTAAGAATGTCTCAAAGCCTTTGATACGTTATGTGTATTGGGAATCTCCAAGAGGAGTTACAGCATTCTCTGTTTCCCAAATTCATCTGGGAAATCTTTGTATGGGAGCATCTTGAGATTCTTGCTTGGTGAACATGCTTCAGGGGGCACTGCCACATGGCATGGGGCTGCTGAGGTCTTCAGCTTCTATGTGTTTTTACTGTCTGTCAGTGTTTCCATTGTGGGTCAAGATCAGCACTGAAAAAAAAAAAGAAATAGAATGGTATAGAATGGAAAAATGGAAAAGTAGGTATTATTTTGTGAATAACTGTTGTCATAGTTATCAGTACATTTGCATGTCTATGTATGGGGTCACTGCATAGAATGTAGTTTTGACAATGAGTTGTGGTCATAAAGCTGGAAAAAAGCTGTTCTAGATTGTGGTCATGCCCTTAGTAAGTCTCACCCTGTTACCCACAGTCATAATTCTCTGGGGGAAAATTTTAGTTAAAGAGGTCTCACCCACCTGACTACAGAAGAAAGATACCTTATAATTCCCCCTCCTATCCACCCCCCTGAGAGTTGTAATTTCCAAGGTTTGAAACAGTGGTAGGTAACTTTCTAGTCTATAAGTGAGATCTGGCCTTTGACTGGGTTTCATCAGTCCATTGCACATACGTCAGTATGTGGTCTCATTTATGGATGCAGCTGCATAAAGAAAACCAAACTTTGCATGCTTTCAGTGACAGTACTCTTGGCACGTGGAGATGTAAATCCTAAAAGAGGACCTTCATCTGAGATAAGGTGGCATTTCCCACTATCTAGTAAACTGAGATTGTCACTAATGTGAAAAATGTATTTCAAGAATGTTTTTGTTTCCATCCAAATGCCATATTCCTAACAAGTTCTAGAAGCAGCTCTCCATTTTTTAAGTCAAGATATTTTTCAAAGCCTGCTCTACAAAACATTTGGGATTTTTTCCCTGTTATTCCTTTTTTTTTTGGTGGTACGCGGGCCTCTCACTGTTGTGGCCTCTCCCGTTGCGGAGCACAGGCTCCGGACGCACAGGCTCAGCAGGCATGGCTCACGGGCCCAGCCGCTCCGCG